TTGGATCGATTGTGAAACCCCCTGCCATGTCTCTGTTGCCTAAAATTGCGTTTGGTATTCTAGGTCTTTTCTGATTCCAAATGAATTTTTGGATTGTTTTCTCTAGTTCAGTGAAATATACTGTTGGGATATCAATTGGGATTGCATTGAATCTGTATAGCTGTTTTGGAAGTATGGCCATTTTCGCTATGTTGGTTCTTTCGACCCCGGAGCAAGGGAAGTCTTTCCATTTTCTTATATTACCAGAATACCACAAGCAATAACATTTCCACCCAGAATAATTTCAGTTATGTGAATATGATATTCTCAGGAAGTTATTTTTTAATTTCTTTGAAAACCAAAGCATCTTTAGTCCTGAAGTGTAGTTTAGGGCACTGTATGTTATTTGATTACTGATGTATACATGATGGTGAACATTTGTATAAAGTTTACTTTTTCTTCAAAGTAATGTAATACACGATTTTTGTTTCTTGTCCTTGATTTGGTTTTGGAGGGTTTCTGTTTCATTCTTATTTTCAAACTTTGAGTTCCTTAAGCCCAGTGTTGTGGCAAATAGTAAAAAGACAGAGCAGGACAAAGAGGGAACACACACAGGAGAGGCTTACATGAGTAGTCAGAGGGCATGCTTTCAGGAGTTAGTTCATTGTTCTCAGCATCTTTAGGAAATTAAAACTGTTACCTTACTTGAATGTGACCTGCTATAGAGTGGATTTCTGTACAGTGTGAAGTTGCTTTGCACTGCTCCAAAAGAGTCGGTCCTTGGAATTAATAAATAGTGATGCTACCTTGCAAAACCATACCATCAACACTAGCCTTGATATAATTAGTAATTGTAGAGTCCTTTATATTTTAAGTACACATATCTCATTTCTTTCTGTTGTGAAGTAGTTTATTCTCCTTTACTTATAGTAATGAATCTGAAACTGGAAAGAGGTGAAATGGGTTGGCTGTGGCCAGGTGGAATGTGACCATAGAACAAGGTCTCCCCTCACCTCCGGAGGCATCTTCTGCACCCTTGGGAAGGCTGTGAAAGTCAGGAAAAGCACGTTCTCCAGGGTGGAGGAAAATACCTGCCTCTGCCAGAGAGAAATTTATAGACTTGAACAATTCTGAATTTTTCTTGCATTTCGCCTCTTCCTAATTAGCAGGCCTCACTAATGTGTGAAAGCACTTGGCTCTAGGGAGAGTTTTGTGCATAATTAGTGCAGTCTGGTCAATCATAAAATTTTGCTTCTTGAATATGTTCAGACAGTGGCTAAAGAAGGCTTTCAATCTTTGTCCAATCTATTGTGACCACTTCAGTTTTAAGTTGCAATAAAATGATGACCAAAATATTTGACTTTCTATAAAGGTAACAATAAACAGATGCTTTTGCCATGGAAAGATAGAGTTTCCACCTGCATATGCAGAAGAGAAATATAGAGGCTGTTGGGAACCCTGGATCTGAACATGATACTCAATAAGTACTAATAATAAGGAAGACTCTAACCATAATCATTGGCTTATGTATGAGATCGTGTGATTGTTTATGTCTGTGTCATACCTTCTATGTGCTAGACATTGCTCTTTTGTAAATATTAACTTGTTTGTTGTAACAGCTCTATGAGGATGATTCTGTTGTTTCCCCCTTTTTACAGAAGTACTGAGTCTAGAAAGGTTAAAAAACACAGGCACACAGTGAAGATGTGGCAGAACTAGGATTCAATACAAAGATCTAGCTCCAGCACATTCTTTTGCCTCTCTGGGAAAATCAGACGAAAATTTCAGGATCTGAAAAGTTGGGAGATCTTCCTATCTTTTGACCCAGTGTTCCCATTGATAGTAATAACTAGTGTTCATTAACCAAGACATAGGTACAAGAATTTCCACGGAAATGTTATTCCTAATAGCACACATATAAAAAATCCACCCAAATGTCCATATATTACAAATGATTAAATTAAGTATAGCTGTTATCATGGGGATGATAAGCAGCGGATCAGAACCATGATCTAGAACGACGCCTATTAACAGGCAAAGAGGACCACATTGGATACCAATCTTTTGCAAAGCACTTGTTTAATATAAAACCACATTTTCCAAAGTGTTAACAGTAAGACGAGTTCATATGGAGAAAAGAAAACCAGTTGGCAGTGTGTGAGCTGCACAACTGCTGATTGTCATCATCGAGGTGCGTGACTACAGAGTATACGTATTTTCAGTGGAATATTTGCTAATTTCCCATATGTTTACTGGAAGTCTGCTGCATATCAGGTACCAGGTACTGAGGCTGTGTATAGAACTTATATTCTCTTTGGAGAAGACAGAAAACTACCAATGAAAAAGATTGACATTTGAATTTTGATAAGCAAAGCCTGTGACTTTTATAATTAATAAAACTTTTAAGATAAGAAAGAGGAGCCCATCACAAAGGAAAAGGGAGGCAGGTTCTGGGAGGTTCAGCAGCCTTCCTGCTCATAGAGGATGAGTTGTAAGGGAAGAGGCTGGTAACCAAATTGAAGTTGAGGGAGTAGGTCTCCTTCCCGCTGGCCATCAGCTCATGTCCAAGCGTGAAGCATGGCTTAGGAACTTAGATGAACATCCTCCAAGCAGGTGACTCTTTGTGGTTAACCACTACATATCCAAATAAATTGATTTTCTGATTCTCATACCATTTTTTGACATTTATTTTAACAAAAATGTAGATTATGTCGTCTTCTCCATTACATTAACCTTCTTCCTAGGGAAATCTGATCATAGAAAGCACTGTACTAGTACTTGTTCTTTTTTCGTTTAGAAAATTATGACTTCTGAAATAAAATAGATTCATTCCTTTTATATAAAATCAATGTTAAAATAGGAGTTGGGGTCCAATGTGTTATTTGGTTTTTATTAATAATCACTGTTTTATTATAAACTACAAACTTTAAACTACTCAGAATTATTGACTTATAATGTAAAATAGCAGAATTAAGTAGCACATTGGAACAGGGTACCTGTTTTTTCAGTATCATGCTATAAGTGGTTTCTTGTTTTATTTGCGTACAGTCTTCAAGCATGTGGCTATTTTTAAAATTAAGGTGAAACTGGTAGAGAAACAACTTTTTATAACAAAATTTATCTGAAAAACTCAAGAGTGTTCATGCATTAAATGAAGTTCAACCAACTTCTCTTGAATGCCCTCCCTGTGCCACCACCGAATGTGGTGTGCACTCTGATCTCAAGAACTCTTAGACTAAGCAGAAAGAGAGCTAGTTATAAAATGGAAGAATAGTACGTACCGAAGGGGAGTTGTTTGTAAGTGTTTAGGTTTTGTAGGGGGCCGTTATGGATTACCACTCGTAAGTAGCGTTCCTCTCCACCTGAGTCCCCCAGAGCAGGGAAAGATTTCATGATCTGTTCCCTATCTAAGCAGGGTGGACAGGGTACCTTATGGGAACAGTAAGTGTGCCCTGGCTAGATGGCTGTGAATTCACAGCTCTAGTCCTGTGAGCTCTCTCTAAGACACCTGAGTGGTTAGGACACAAGAAGTGTTGATGGTCCCGATTGTGTGGCTGCAGAGTTCTCATCTTCCAAGCTTTGCTTTTTTCAGAGCCAGACCAGATAACAAGCACTTGCCTCCTGTTGGGACAATACGTGTAGGGAATAAAGGACCTTTTAAAATTAGAAGTAGATCACCAAACGTGTGTGCATATGTGATCGTGGACGCGCCATGTCCTTTCCTCCAGGCATGTTTGTTCTTATTCTGCTCCTGTATCTACAAAGTATGATGAAAACTACAGTGAACATTAAAAATTTGCACAAATCAATTACAATAAAAGACGCATTGCCATCAGTCCTTGTCAGAATCCTCTCCCGCATTTCAAACACTTAGCCTATCATTCTCACTGCCCTCTGAAGCACTTCTGGAGTCCTCTTCTGTGAGTGTCCTTGAGCCGTCCCGGCTGCCTCCATGTCTTGAGTAGATTCAGAATGCTGACCTTTTGTGGTCATTTGGACTTTGAGGAAGAGCCAGCAGTCACATGGTGCCCGATCTGGTGAGCAAGGCAGTCTCAGGCCTGCTGAGAGGACCTGGTGGCTCAGACAGGGGGAGTCGCTTCCCTGATCCTACAACCTTCTTTGAGAAACCTTGCCATGGCCTTCATTATTCCCCAAGCTCAAGCAGACGTGCCTGTCTTCATTTCTTTGCTTTCCCGGAGAGTAGAAGCAAAATATTTTATTGCATATTTCCGAAACGGAATTTTTAAGTGACCAGTCTGAGGTTGGGCACAAGGTCCTGCACACACCACTTCCGAGCCCTGAATCTTGCGTTCCACCCGGAGCAAACAAAGCTCATCTGGGTCAGCCGGGCACATGTTCCAGACTCTTCCCCTGCTCTCTGGCGTCTGCTGTCTCGCTGTCTTTTCTGTCACCAAATTCTTCTCTACATTACACACAGATGAAATGCATAAAAATACTCCAAGTGTTTCCCAGAACATTGGGAGATTTTCTTCTTAAATCTCGTGGAGTTTCTAAGGCAGGATTCATGTACAAAATACAACTGTGGCTCGTGCCTCTGATAAATAATTTGATTTATAGAATCATAGAATCATGTTCTGTTCAATTTGCCTAATTACATTAACTTTCAGATTTTCACTTTTAGAAAAGGCTCCTACGTGTCTTTTTTTCATTAAGTTTATTGATACTTTTTAGGTGTACAGTACATTTATTTTTCTTTTCTGTCTTCTTTTGTGGTACTGTGGATTGAACTTGGGCCTTTGCACTGAGCTATACTGAGCTATGTTCCCTCGTTCTTTTTAAATTTTGGAACAGGGTCTTCCCAAGTCATTAAATTGCCCCAGACTGGGCTCGAACTTGGGATTCTCTTGCCTCAGCCTTTCAGAGTGCTGAGATTGCAGGTGTGCAGTACTCCTTCCAGTTTCCAATCTTCTTTCGAATAACATGATCAGAAGATAAAGCACACATAGTGCTGACCGTTGTTGCTGACCTTTCCTTCTCTCTTCTCGGTTTCTGTGCTCCAGGTGGGAGAGTTCAGGGCCCATGCGGCCGAGTGGACAGCCAATGTCACGGCCGAGTTCAAAGAAACACGGAGGAGGCTGAGCGTGGAGATCTACGACAAGTTCCAGCGAGCCACTTCCATTAAGAGGAAGCTGTCTGCAGAGCTGGCGGGGAACCACAACCAGGAGCTGACCCCGTGCAGGAGGACCCTGTCGGTGAACCACCTGACCAGCGAGAGGGAAGTCCTGCCTCCCTTGCTGAAGACTGAGAGCATCTATCTGAACGGCTTGACGCCGCACTGTGCAGGCGAAGAGATCGCTGTGATTGAGAACATCAAGTAGCCCTTGGTTCAGAAGAGCCTTAGCCCTAGCCCTAGGTGAGGACTTCTCTGTGCGCTTTATGACTGTTGCCGGTAGCAGTTTAAGCATTGTGCATGAGCTCCCAAGGGAAGCCAGTAGATACACCCATCACGGTCATCTGCCACTGAGAGACTCGAACCCTGAAGCAGCACTCTTTCGGAGGGTGCTTCGGGAAAACTCCGCTCCCTTTGACCGGTGGAAAGACAAGCGAGGTCCGATGCCTTTCTGTGCCCAGACTGTTTTCCTCCCCTTCCCCCTGATGTGCCATAAGGCCTCAGAGTGAATTCGAACCGCCTTTGGTAATGATGTAGCTTGGAAAGACCAGTCTCTAACTTTTCAGGGTCCACCTAACTGAGCCTAGATACGGACCATTTCTGGATGACAACATTTCTTTTTGTAAATGGCAAGAAATTCTTATGCAGCCTTTTACCTAAGAAATTTTCTGTCAGTGCCTTATCTTATGAAGAAACAGAGCCTCTCTAGCTCGCGTGTGGTTTCTCCTTCCCGCCCTCCCCAGGCTGCCTCCGAGGTAGAGGCTGAACCTTACCCCTTGCTGGACACAGTGTGTCAGAGGACTGAGTTGGTGACCCCCGAAGAAGGAACAGTGAAGCAGCACTCAGAAACTAGTGATACAGGCACTGCAGAGAAAGGAGGTGCAGAGGTGGCCCCTCGGAGTATTTATTTGACTCAGGTACCCGTGGTACGTGTGTACGGTGTAATTATTACCAAGCCGGTAGCCCTGGCTGCTCACAAACTGTCCCTTTTTCCTGGCAGTATTTGGAATCTGTCATTGATTAATAACTATACATTTTTAAAGGCAAAGGAGAGTTTATTATATATCAGTTGGAAGAAAACTTAAACATAGGTATTACTAGAGGAGATCAGAAACACTTGGAATGAATTCATTGTCACGAAATGAAAATAGCAAAACTATGTGTTAAAAACATTATACTGCCAGCTTCTTTTGCTTTTTAATGTCTGAAAGACTAGGATTTCGTTCTCCCGAGTGACTTTTGCCAAATGAAAGGGAGGCCCTGCTCAGAGCGTGGAGGGACAGGCCCAGCCTTCCGGCTCCCTTGTCACTTTGCACTGTGACAAATCAAGCTGAAGCTAGGATCACTGTGATTTTGCACATGGAGAAAATACAGATTGCAGACTCAATTCATCTCTGGCATTAGAGAAAATGCTGTTCTAGCACAAGATAAATATCAAGAGTCTTTTTTTAAGATAGAACAGGCTGGTAATCCTCTTTAGTTTAATGTTATATCTTTAATTCTTTAGATGTCCCCACGATTCAGAAAAAAAAAAAATCCAGCAAATGCTACCCTTTCCCTCTATTTTCATACTTAGGTCTGCTGGACATTGATAATTTTTAAATTGAGGCAGGAAAATAACTTCCTTGAATATAATTGCAAAACAGAGCTCTTTTACTCTCTCTTGAGAGTTGGGGTAGGAGCATCCCAACAGGTGGCACACAGGTGAGGGTCTTAAGAAAATAAACCCAGAACCTTCAAAAACAAACCAATAGATGCTTATTTTCCCAAGTTTAAATTTAAGGTAGAAATGTACATACTCATTTAACTTGTGGAAGGTACTTTTATAAATCTAAAAACTTCTAACCAAAAGTTTAGAAAGTCAGGCTCTTTTAGAGAGGAAGCTACACTCATCTCCTGGGTATCTGTTCCGAAAGTTCATATGGTGGAACACACCATGTATAAACTGTGAATTGCATTGATGAATAAAGTTTGTAATTAAAGTCAGCATTTTCTGAGTGTCCTGCTTGCTGCTGAGAACTTAGGTCTGATTCTAGCTGAGTGGAGCTAGAGGATGCCACTTTTCACACTGAATGTTTGTGGCTCTTTCATTCAAAATATTCAAGAAATATTTTTGATGTAGTAGTAATTCCCTTAGCAAATAAGCAAATTCTTTCTTTGGAGGCTATTAATAAAAAGTAAAGATGCTGAAATTCATTTGTGAAATACGATTTTTGAAATAGCGTATGAGCTCAAGAATGTTCCCTTACATTATATTTTTCTATCATATTTTATCATTGTTAGACCTTGCCTTGTCACTGAAGTAGCCTGAATGCTGAACAGAAGCAACTAGTTATTTTTTATTAGAGAAAGATAATAAAGCTTCCTGGTAGAATTGAAGCTTCAAGTAGGCAGTTGCCAACTAGTCTGCTAGACCTTATACCTCCAGTACATGAACTGTTTGCCTTGTCAGCATCCCACAAAAATGTGCTGATTCATTCTTAACCTGATGCTCAATAAAGATCTGAAAACTGGCCCTGACATTGTCCTAACCCATGTATTGCATCAACTGACACCACTTCTATATTCTCAAGATTAATTATTAATTCTTATGGGAAGACTGTTGGTAATGATCTTAACATAGCCTGCACTTTTCTAGTGAGTTTACTTTCCTCATAGGCTACTGTAAGATTAAGTAGTTTTGCCCTGAAGAAAAATTAAATGTTAGAAACAGACAGAGCAGGAATACACTAATCTGTGTTCTTAGACATGGATTCTAGCTATGCTCTTTTTCCAGCCTCAAACTACTAAAGGTAAAAAGGATTCTTTTAGATTTCCTGCTTTTTTTTCTGCAGAGATCTGTATACTTTCTTCCATATTTTATGCCGCACACTTTTCGCCAATAATATTTCACCTTTGCAACGAAGGAAAAAGAAATTTCTGAAGCCAAAAGGGAATTGAATAGTGTGCATCTTGGCCTTCCAAAAAGAAAGAACAAAGAAACAGGAAAAGAAGCACTGTTTGGGCTTTGTTTCTTTCTCAAATTCCGTGTAACAGGTGACACTTAAGAGATATCCAATCCTATATATGTCAAACATCAGCATAATTCTTGGACTCTTGAATTGGAAAGTTAAAAAAGACTAAAGAAAATAAATTTCTGATGGAAAACGAAAAACCAAACTTAGACATTCTGAAGACTTGAGATTCTATTTATGCCTGAGTGCTAAAGGTCTAGATCAACTTCTGTTTGTGTCTTTCTTCTTTGCAGTTCTGCTGTTCTCATAAAATCATAACTTATTTGTGATTTGCATTTCATATCAAAGTGTGAGTATAAATTGGTTGTTGTATAAAGTTGTCTCTATTTGACTCTCTTAACTATTAAAATTAATATATGATTTGTTTTGCTTTAGCGTGAGTTTACTGAAATGTTCTTTTCTGATGGAACTCACCAGCTTTGAACATGCTCATGTGTCCGTTCCAGGGAGCACGGAGTGACCAGTTCCTTTCCAGAGGAGCCCTGCAGGGTGATTTGTAAGAGGAAAGTGCCATAAGCTCTGCTTGCTTCCTTCATTCACAGCCCACCTTGGAGATTTATATCTCCTTCGTTGTATTATTTTCCCCGACCACAAACTCAACCGCTCCTTCCTCAAAGGTGAGGATTTCTTCCAAGGACCAGGAATGTTGATGCTGGTCTTTTGTTTGAACTGAGTGCTATTGGTTCACCAAGCCCCAGCTTTTGCTACTTTTAATATTCGTAAAACCATTTATTGTTTCCCGGGTACGAGCTTCATAAGCTATTTCCACTTTGAGGGGCATGGTTCAAGTTGTAGCCATTTGTTTCTTTTGCTTTGGTGTTTCTTGCTAAAGTAGTTCTGTGCATTCACCCAAATCCCACTAGCTAGTTTTTATTCTGCTTACTGAGAACTCTTCTACTTGAACTTCCCTCTGGGGCTCGGATCCCCCGAGCTAACTCCCCTCCGATTGCTCCACTCCTTCTGGTACCTTGACTTAGCTGAGGCTCCCCTCGCCTTCCCTGGTGAGGGCCACCGTCTGGTGACATGTATTTCAGAGACTGCACCACCAGCTCTCTGGCTGAGAAATCATGCTTTTCGGCTTTCTCTTCCTCATCTCCACACCTTCCTCTGTCACTAAGGTCTACTGACTTGTGTCCTAAATAAGTCTTGAATTTGTACACAGCCATTACCTTGCTCTATGCCACCAACAATCTTTCCTTCCCTTGTTACCAACAACCTTTGTATCATTCTCTCCTCCTGTCATTAAAGGTGCTATGTTTAATATTCAAACCTGATCAGATCATTCTCCACTTTAATCCTGTTACTTGTCTTTCATTATTTTAGAAAGAAGGCCTGAGTCCTTCAAATGGCTCGCAAGGTCGTTTTTCGGTTTACATTCTTTCTTTTCTTTTTGAAGTTGACTGACATCCATGGAACACCCCCTCCAGTAGTGAGAGGATCAACATTTCTTTCTAGGATGTAGAGAATATCTGACCAACACAGTCCATATTCTGGGCAATACAGCAAGGCACAAAGAATTGGAAAATATTTAAGTCAAACAGAACCTGTTTTCTGCTTCTGATACAGTGAATGCCATTGTCTTCAAAGGCATCTTGTATCATTCCCTCCTCTCTGTCATTTGCTCTGGATCACTGTCTTCTGCCTGGAAGATAGGTAGATGTTCTCTTTGCCTGGAATGATTGTCCTCTGTTTACGCCCCAACTTTTTTCACCTACTAAACTCTGAGTCATCTTTGAGAACTGGAATCAAGTATCATTTTCTTTGATAAACCTTGCCTGACACCACAGATACCTTTGTGACAGTCTCTGTAAAATTCTGTTCCCTTCATTCAGGTTATAATGAGGTGCTCACCACTAATTTATCTGATTATTATTTGTATGCAGTCTGTTGTAGCATACCATTTTATTCCCAGATACTAGAAAATACACATAGTGGGTGCTTTAAAATGAATGAAAAGGGGGTGGAAGATTTAGCTCAGTGGCACCCTGCCTGCCTCACAAGTGCAAAGTTGTGAGTCTGAACAAACAAAGGTGAGGCTTGGTTAAACACTGGTGTGTTGTTTGTGTGAGCTAAGTGGAGCAGGGTGAGCAGGGGGTGGTACCGCAAAATGGCAGAGAACACACGGTGTGCAGTTGGCTGGCTGGAGGTCAGCCTTCTACCCTGCTACACTCCTGGCAATTTTTCTTTCATTTTCCAACATCTGTCTGCCTCACTTTCCCTATATATAAAATGAAGTTCCATTTCTTGGTATTATTCTGAGATCCAAATGAACCAATACATGTGAAGTGTTAGATGCAATCTCTGGAACATTCCGAGGACTCTATAAGTGTTTGCTAAGTAGGATTCAATTCACAAGGACACACTTGATAAATACAAGCAAAGGAGGCTAAAAAGATTGACTGAGTTGGATGGTGAAGGGTCCCAGCTGCCATACACTGAGGTGATCAATTAGGACAAAGAACCAAAATTTAACAACTAAACCTACTTCACTTCCTGGTAAAAGAAAGGAAAGGCATGTGGTTCCATTTTCTTCATGGAATGGAGCTGAATGAGAATCAGAGGACTCGTCTCACAGGGGAGAGGAGTAGATTCAGTGCTGAGCAGCCTTGCTATGGCTTGGGTCTAGAACACGTCCCAAAGTCTCAAGCATTGAATGCTCAATCACCAGCCCGTGGTGCTATTGGGATGTGCGGCCTCCCGGAAGGAAGTGAGGTCATTGAGGGAGTGGCCTCGAAGGAGATATGGAGACCTCTGACTTCCTCTCTCTTTGCCTCCTGGTTGCCCTGAGGGAAACAGCTGTACTCTACCACATGCTCCCTGTCCTGATGTGCTGCTTCACCAAGACCTCAAAGGCACCAGGGCTGAGTGACCAAGAACTGAAACCTCTGAAACCATGAGCCAAAATAAATCCTCTTTCAAATTTATTTATCTCAGATGTTTTGTCACTGACCCAGAAAGTTGACTAACCCAAAGCTTGAACTCAAGGCTTCTGCCTTGTCGTGGACTCCAGAGGGTGAAGACTGGAAAATGACTAAATCAAAGGGGAGAAAAATGCCTAAGAAGAAGGTCTCCAAGGAGAGGCTCCTGGACCTGGGCTTTTGACTGTAGCTGGCCACACGCCTGCTTGGATGTGGGAAGGGCAGCTTTTCCCATGTGGCCTGCCAGGCACAGCCTCAAAGCTGCCCATTGATGGGCCTGCAGGAGCACACAGGATGCTGGCCTAGATCCACTGCTGAATACCGTGCCCTTATAATCCACATAATCCATTCACCTTCCAAAATTCCCACCACTGAGCCCTTGAGACTTAAGGGAACAATCAAGATCTAAACCATAACACACACAGTCCCAGGACATCTCTTCTTGATAAATACTTAACTCACTGAACCAGGAAAACACAAGTGAAGACACGTGACGACAACACTAGTAGACTCTTTCTGCTCAAGCCCTTGGTAGGTTGGTGGCCCCATTGCTAACTTCTCTGAGTGGTAGATGCCAAAAGTTCAGGGCAGCCCCTTTTTCTGGGGAGCACTCACTGGATCAGAAGCCACCCACTGGGAGATTACAGAGGCTCCACTGTGGGCAGCACACAGCCCATAATTGACCCCCAAACGACCAAAGACAGCCAGCTATGCCTTTAGGCGCCATCCTCTCTGTGGTGAAACGAATGCTCCCCAGCAGCATGCTATAGGGCCAGACTGAGACGACACCTTCACCTGGTGACTTCCTCTCCCCTCTTTCTCCTTAGTGCACACTCTAAATATCCCATTTGCCTGCATTCCAGGCTCAGGCTCTGTTTTGAAGACGCCTGTAGAAATTATCTATTGGAACAGAAGTTCACATCCATGGTGAAAGGAATATAGCTGTTTTCCTTTTAAAGGAATGACTCTGAGCCAGTTATATGACTCTTGATATCTTGAGACATAGAGTGTGACGTGGTTCTATTTGGTTAGGATGAGACAGGGTATCTATGCC